GAGCCGCATTCCCAAGTCAAATGGTAGACCATCCGATTTGGCTGTGTATGTCCCCTCTGGCCTAGGCTTCAAATCCCGCCTTTCATGACTGTTGTCTAAAAGGAGGGGGTCCTGGCTGGTGCTACCTAGCGATGCTGGCGAAACCCAAAAGGATTGGTTGACGGTTCCACCGGTCAAACAATCTTTTTGATTATACATATGTTAAATATGTAAATACATAAGAATTGTGCATTACTCATGTAAATATTCCATTCTTTTTTTACTTGTTCGGCTTATTTCAGATGCGGCTTCGCGCAGAGCCAGGAGGCCTACGACGCCGCCGTCTCCGAGCTCTTCACCGCCATGGATGCAGTCGAGGAGCATCTTTCTTCCTCCCGCTACCTCTGCGGCGATAGTTTCACATTTTGCACCACATTAATCTGCTTCGATCTGGTTTACAACGTTCTCTTCAAGTGCACGAAGAAGAAGCTGGTTGAGTACCCTAACCTCCATGGATATACACGAGACATATACCAGATGCCTAAAGTCGCAGAGACTTGCGATTTCGCCGCCATTGTCGATTCGTATTATGGGACTCTGTTCCCTTTGAACCCTAGCGACATCCATCCTGCTCTGCCTGATTCTGCTTCGGAGGCGGAATTGCTTTCTAAGCCGCATAATAGGGAATCGCTTTCTTCCAGCCCCAGAGATCCGTGGCCACAGTCTGCTTGAGTGCTTCTACATGCAGTTCAAGAGAAAATATTACATCACTGTTTTAAAAACGTGAGAGCCCACTTGACACTAGTTTGCGTTCGGAGTCCAATAGTGGAGCGTCACGTGTTAAGTGAGCCCCACCATAATACACAAGTATTGGCTTGTGTTAAAAGCAGTAGAGCCCACTTGACACTTGACACCACATCATTAGACTCAGAATGCATCAACAATGCTGATGTAATATTTTTTCCTACAAATACTAGGGATTTGCAGAGCTTGATTTGGTATGTTTTAGCCAAACAAAAGAAGCACATGCTTGAATACCACATTCTTTATTTAAATATCTAACACCTAAATTTTATATTTGTAACATTCAAATCTTCCCTATCACATTAAAAATCCCACTATTACTGACTTTAATAAGTAAAATGCACTTTTTCAAACCTAAACAAATGGTATACATGTAAAAAATTAAAATTTAGATGTTAAATATGTAAATACATACGAATTATGCAGTGAATACGTAAATCTTTCATACTTTAAATAAAACATAGGGAATGTTGAGTTGCTAATTATGTCAAACATGGCTTAAATTTTAATTAATTTGATAATATTGAACTTGGCCGCAAAGAGCTAATAAAATTTTATTTTATTTTATTTTTTGACTCAAAGATCGCACCTCAATTTAAATTACATCAAGTTGATGAAACATAAAGACCTATCAACAAAAAATTTTCATGATTAGGCACAAATCTCAATGCAATTTTAAAATACTTATAATCAAATCAAACATACAAACCAAAATACACAAAAAAAATTATTAAATTTGAGTTCAATCATGCGCGTATAATTGGAAGCTCTGAAACATCAGTTGATGCGTTAAACGATCTCAAAATTTAGTCAGCTTATACAATATTCGAGCATTATGATAGAGAGAAATCTAATGAGCTTAAAATTACTCAAATATGAGGTCACTAAGAAATCAATATTGAAAATAAAGATCAACAATCAAAAGAAATTGATATGAACCGTTCGATGAAGCGTTTTGGGAATTTGGTAATATTTACCAAAACAATTTAGAAGAGTTCCTTGGAGAACTCCATCTCTGGCCTTTCTTCTAATCTTTTATACATGAAACAATCACTTCTACGCTCATCTTATCCATCCAATAGAGGCACAAACCATTGAAGATGAAGCAAACAACACCCATAACAAAAAAGTTGAGCAATTCACAAGCAAATGTAACAATACTTTTTAAGAGATACTAATCAAGCACTCCAGTAAGAAATATAGAAGCCATGGGGGAGCCACAATCTCCCCTTAAGGCCCCCAAACCAGCAACATATGCTTCGACTACAAAATACAGCACTTAACATATCATGCATCAATATTCTAATGGTTAGTCAATATGCAGATACTAATAAGCATCCATTCCCACTGAAGCAAAATTCAAGCAATAAAAAATAGTATCTTCACTTCCATCAGAGTCATAGGAACACAATTGAAATATACATACAACTCTTGATAAAAAAATGAATGGATAGTTCAACAATGGTATCATGGTTGATTTGTGCAAAACAGACCTTCCTACACAAGCACCACTCCAACTAATGTACAAGCGGCATAAAAGCAACAATAAGAAAATTGCCAAATAGTTGGTGAAATTGAAGCAATTACTAAAAGTTCATTATTATCCAATCAAATTTTCATTGCCACGTTTGAAGAGCCAACATAGAAATCGTATGTCGATCAATCCATCACTTTTTACGACACCAACTTAGAGACTTCAAATCCCACATCAAGGCCCACTAGTCATTAGCATGGGAATTGGTGAAAAATTCCATAAGTTCAAATAAATTTTAATTCATAGCAGAAGCTATGTCGATGTCCAATTTAACTCGACATTTCGTAACTTGGGTTTAATCGGGGAGAAACTGCATTCAGTTGCAAAACCATTGCTTTAACATGATAATCGGCCAACGAAGGCAGAACAAAAAATTACTCTCCTAATCATCTTTCAAGAATTTTATGCGCAAGCGACACTTGCGATTCAAATTGCAGTAGTTATGTCAATGCTATTACTTCTACGCTACACTTAAAAAAAAGTTTTCAACTCTTGTTCAAAATTGTGGCGTGCAAACAAATCAACAAATGACAGATGTTATTTTAGATAAAACATTGACTGTTGTCACTAGTTTTGAGACTGAAAATTTTGATCTAAGAGAAGAAAAGTACACTTCAAGTGGCGTCTCCTGAACAGTTAATTCATGTATCATTATCAAATTAACAACCTTAATGAAATGTACAAATTAGTTCATTGTTCTCTAATGAGGAAAGACATAGGTATGTTAATTTTCTGCACCAAAATCAAGATATGTTTGCTTGGAATCTTTCAAATATGTCTAGGATTGATCATGAGATAATTTTACACCATCTTATTATAATTCCAATCTTTATACCTACAATCCAAATGAAAATAAACTTTGCAATAGACTATCTATTACCTATTGTGCAAAACATTGATAATATGTTGGATGCTGGATTTATCTGAGAAATTTCCTATCCCATTTGACTTGGAAATGTTGTTATGGTCAAGAATAAAGAAGGCTAGTGGAGCCTAAAAAATATGTGTAGAGTACACTGATCTGAACAAGGCATGCCCAAAAAATATTTTCACTTTCCACGCATACAAGAGCCATGTGAGTGATACAATCATGGAGTATTTAAAAAAAAAAAAAAAAAACTCTTGAACGGACCTAATAATTTCCTTTTTATAAGATGAAACATTGTCGAATGATTCAAGAGATGGAGCTCATCTTGGATGACAGGCTGCAAATTTTAGTACCATTAAAAATTAATTGCAAACACAATGATTTACAAGATCAAATCTGAAATGCCTCACTCTAAGAGACTAATAAATATTTACTTACAGAAGTCCAATAAAAAAAAATATAGGGGTAACACTTTGAAGAGCAGAGCAATCACTCAAAAAATTTTAGAACAGAACTCCTATTTGCTCAGAATAAAACAAAATGCATTAAATTTTGTGAGAACATGCAATAACTTTCAGCTGTACTCTAATCTTATATTCTTGTTGTCTATTAGTTATATATAAAAAAATTCATATTATAATATCTTTTTTTTATATATATAACTAATACACAACAATAATTTATCATTTTGACAATTGATTATTCCACAAAAGTAGACAGAAGCCGAAATCCTAAAACAAAATGTAAACAAACTTGTTCTACTTATAAAGATCATTGATAATACCGCCCTATTCACCAAAAAAATATTTGTATCTTTTTGCAAAGAACTTTATATTCAATTGATTACATACCGAACAAAATTGCCCAAAAAAATTTTCCACAATTGTTTTTCCTTTTATTATTTTTTTCATAATTTAGGTGCAAAAACAGAACATTAAAATGTATGACAGCTTAAATTCTGAGCCTTTACATTAACTTTTGACAAATTTTTTACAACGAAACTAGCAGGCACGCATACTGTATTTTCCTGCCAAAGTGAAATCATTTTTATCGATGGCCGTTGAATCAAAAGTTCATAGGAATAATAGAAACATAAGTAATGCACAACACAAATGCCTACATTGGAACAATGAGCACAAGGTCCAAGCAAAGGCCCACAACCATACAAACATACGTATAAAAAATATGCACATTAACCTCGAATTGAATTAAAGCGGAAACAGAAATTATCGCAGCTATTTCAGGTACAGTTTTTGGTCCCTGATATAGCCGATAACTTCGTCAAAAGTAAGGTACTTCACCGAAAGACCTCTTCTTATGCACTCCCTGTAGCAAAAGAGCAAACGAGTAACTTGTCAAGTGCTGCTAAAACATGACCACAAGCCAGAAGTAGATGAGCACCATGCATCTAAGGCTATAAAAAAAGCTCGTCATTCACAAATAGCTCGTGTTTGCTTCGCTAAATAGCTCGTGTTTCATTTAGAGGTTAAACAAATGAGTCCAACATTAATAATATTTTTGACCTCGATTTATAAATAAGTCGAACAGAAATAAAATTATGATAGATCATGTTTAACAATTTTTGGCCCGAATTAATAAAAGAAATAATATTATTATAATACTTTTATACTAAACTTTTATTTTGTATTAAAAAAAAAAGAAATTTACATAGGCAGTACACAATTCTTATGTATTTACAGGTTTCACGCCTAAACTTTCATATTTACATACATAGTATTTTGGTGTTTTAAATTTATGCATGAAAGGTAGAGTTGTAATCGAGCCGAGCCGATCTGAGTATGTCAAGAGTGAACTTGGCTTGGTCGAATCATAAGTTGTTCATATTCAGTTCGAGTTTGAGTCAAGCTTTCACATATGCGTTCATGCTTGGCTTGCTTAACCTTTTTTAAGTGCATCCTTGAATTATACTCGACTTGTTTATATCAAGAGAAATTTACATACCTAGCACACAACTCTTATATATTTACATAGCTCACAACAAAACTTTTATATTTACATAAATAGCATTTTGGTGCTTTAAAAACATATGCCTGAGGAGTATGCTTTTAAAAAGTGATAATAGTTCTATTTTGAGAAAAAATATTACATACTTTGTAAATATGTGCGGACAACAATAAATGGAGCGGTCACATCATTATAATTTCACTTATATATGACGTGGCTTTCCCATCCACCGTTGTTGTACATTTTTACAAAGTAGGTAATATTTTCACCTATTTTTGATATAATATTAAGGATTTGAGTGCTATGTGTGTAAATCTTCTAGTATAGGTGTGAGATATGTAAATACATAAGAATTTTGTGCTATATATGTAAATGCCTCTATTAAGTACTAAATTTTTTATATTAATTGAACAAGCTAAAAATTTTAATGTGTGTGATTTTTAATATAAAATACAAATTCAATTTGTACTTGATTTTTTATATAAAGTTAATAAATAAAATAAAAATTCAAATGAGCACTTGATTTTTTATATAAAATTATTAATAAAAAATTGTACCGATCTAAATAAATACAAGATTGAATAAATTTTAAATTAACATCCAAGTAAATAAAATAATCTATAAATTATAACTAAGCTTTTTTTTACAATCAAATAATATTAATAAATATCAACAAGTTCATTAAAATAAAAATAAAATAAAAACAAAGTACATTAAATTTATATGCATATTGATATTAAATTATAATATATTATTATTGAATATATAATTAAATAAGTTCTAGTTAATTAAATATTATTTAAACAATATAGCATATAAAAAAAGTATTTAACAAGTTATTTGTTGAACAACAAACAAGCTTGTTCGTGAACATTAACAAATGAGTTGAACCATGTTCAGATTTGCTAAATATAACCTTGGAGCTTTAAAAACTGTTACATGTTTGTTTACGAAGTTGAGCAAATATGATCTAGTATTAATCAAGCCCAGGTCAAGTTCTTCGTCAAGTGCATGGTTCATTTGCAACCTAATGAAAGTTGCATTTCACTTTTAAAATGTGCATACAGTGCTATTTTTATATGATATTAAATATTTGAGTATTTGTTAAGTGTCAAAAGTATATAAAAATAGTCGTATATTTCTGCATAAATATTATATTATTGTATGTTTTCAATGGTATTCTTTATTTAGTGTTGTGCAAAAAACTTACATGGCAACAATTTGCAATAAATGTCAGAAGTACTTGTTGACCTCATTTTTTAGGTCATTTCTTTTTCCTTAGGGCATTGGGATCTAGTTCTAGGAGTTCCTATTGATCGTCTTAGAAAACTAGAATTATGACCCACCTTTTTAGAAATTCTAGCAACTTATTTTTCTTTGATATCTAATATTTTATGACACAAGACCATCGTCTTATGAACTAGCGGTTATGGACTGTTTTGTGAAGACTCAAGGGAAAAGTTCCTAATAGGACTCCAAGCCTTAGAAAAACATCGTCATGACCTTTTTGTCACATACACACACAAAATGCACAAAATTCACAAAATTGCACGAAATCGGACTTCCATTTAGCCTAAAGGACGGGTGAAAAAGCGAACTTCTACGGATGACCTCCGAAGACAAATTAGACTGCGCTAACGCGTCAGGGATACCAATTTTGGTAGGAAAGGACATCCATATTGCCATATTTTTGACACGAGAAAATTGACACGCAAATCGATGAATTCTTCAAAACGACCTATGACGACAAAACAGACCGTGCCGTTGCGTGCGGAATGTCGAAATTACCTAAGGAAGACACCTATTTTGCTTGGGCGCCGCACATGGATAAATCGCATGAAATTTGATATATATATATATATATATTTATATATAATTCTTATTTTTTTCCCTAAATCCCTAAATAGCCAAATCCCTCACACCCGATCCCGCCTCCTCTCCGTCGCTCGCGATCCGGGCGAAGCCCTAGGGGGCCGAATTGAACTCACACGCCTCGCCTCCCTATCCCGTTCGTGACCGAGCCCTCCTTCCTCTTCGATCGTGAGCCCTAGCCGAACCGACCGAATCCCCTCTCCGCTTGCGATCCGATTGCGAAGATTCGGCCCGCGGTCCCGCTCCTCGTACGCCTGCCGCCCTGCGAAAAGCTTCCACGTCGTGCCACGCGAACTGCTCCTCTGCAACAAAGCTTCGTCCTCTCCTCACACGAGGTTTGTCGCTTCTCTTGGCTCGGTTCACTGCCCAGGTAAGTGACGGGAAACGCATCTCCTCTTCCCTGGCTATATAAACCCCACTTGGGGAGGAGTTCTAGGGTTGGCCAAAAATTTTTAGAGAGGGTGGAGGTGCTGCCAAAATCTTATCTAAATCTCCTTGGTTCGATTTTCCTTGCTCTGTTCCTCTCGTGTGCTTGCGGCCTTTTGGAAATGCTTGAGGCCTTTTGTGCTTGAGGCCTTTTGGAAATGTTGTGAAGAAGATTTGTGGAGGTTTCAGGGCTGAAATTTTGGAGAGTGGGGGAGGTGCTGCCGAAATCAATTTGGGTTTATTTTTGAAGTTTATTTGGGTTTCCATTGAACCCTAAACACCTTTCCCCCCTCCCCCTCAATCGTTCAAGCTTTTTGTTGGTTGCCTGACAATCACTGTTTTATTGCTTGATATTCTTGCTCGTTTCTTGTTCGGCTGCCGATATGTTATTTTGGAATACATTTTTTCCCCAATATTCCTAGTTCAGAACTTAAAAAAAAAAGTAAAAAGCTGCATCTTAAAGTTTTTTTTTGAGCACTTAGAGAGCACTATTTTCTTTTCCCTTAGCTACCCACTGCTGTCACTGTTTGCCGGTTGGTTTGTTTTGGGCTTTAATGCTCTTCTACTACAAAAAAAAGGGAGGAGAAAATGATGTGGTGGAGTTTCATGTTAAGATGCTTAGGATGTTATTTTGGGGCCTTTCCTGCCCCTTGCCCTCTATTTCACTGTTTTACTGATATGCATGGTTAAATGCATTGAAATCTCCATATCGGCATGCTTAGGAGGCTATTTTGGAGCCATTCTTGCTCTTTACCTGCTCTTCACCTCACAGTTTTGTTGAAATACATGCTTAAGTACATTTAAGGCTCCATTTCAGCATGTTTGGGATAAGATTTGGAGCTCTCCTTTGCTCCTAATTGGCCGATTTGGAAAATATAAATGCAAAAATAAATTTAGGTGTTAGTGGTGTGAATAAAATTTGAAATTGTTGCTACTTTTTTTATACGGAATTTTGAAGCTTCTAATTTGGTTCTTGTATGCGTGGGGCTACAGTATTTGATTTAGAAGATTTTCCTCCATACCATGCAATTCTTATGCAGTTACATATGTAACACACAGTGCGTTGTTTTTTTTTTTTTTGAAAATCCGGTAGGTTTATTTGGCAAATTGCTATTTGGAGGGCCTCGGTCCTTTGCTCTTTTAGAAAATTTGAGAGGTGAAATATATCTTTTCATGCATAGAAGTTGCTTTACTAAAAAAAAAATATGTTTTTCTTTGGTGTGGTGTGCTTCAAACTTGGAGTCGCTCCCTCTCCGACATCCATGTTGGTAGCGCTAATGTGAACTATCTTTTCAGCAAAAATTTTGTGATCCAATTCTTAGTCACATGAAAGTTCTTTTTTTGAAACATCTATAGAATTTCTTCGCACATAAAGGTTCTTTGTGATATGCTATTTGGTCACGTGAAAGAGAATATTTGGGTGTTGGATATGCAAATGCGCAAGGGTTGCATGGGTAAATGCAAATAAGTTGATTGATATGTATGAAATTTTGTAAATTTGCATGCATGCTTCTCAATTCTTACATATATTTGCACATCTTATAATTTTCGGATTTTAAAATATTTACATATATGACACCTGAATTTCAGCTTTCTTTCCCTAAATCCCTATGAATTTGGGTGGCGTATATGTAATACCATTTGACTTGGCAAATTGGCTGATTTTTGGAGATATGAGAGTGATGTTTTTGCCATACACACTTGCTGATTTTTTTGAAGAAATATAAGCTTTGTTTATGGAAGGGTTTTAAATGCGTATTCATGGTTGAGGCCTACTTTTTGGTGCTCTATTTACAAAAGTTTGAAAATTCTTCTGGCTATTTACTTAGTTGGCATCAACCTATATTCTCAAATGATTCGTATTGCGGAATATTTAATATTGAAGCTTTTATTTTGAAAGAATGAGAACTAATGTAGCTTTGATTTTTGGGAGGTTTGAAAACTCTCGAAGCTTTGTTGTGGGCTCGATTAATCGTTGATTTGGAAGGGTGCAAATGCCCTTTTGAAAGCTGGTTATTTGTCGAGCTTTTTGAGTTGATTAAACGCTATATGTTTCTTTCGAA